CCAGCTTGGTTTGAATCGGGAGCAGGAGGCCTCCGGGGCCATCACGTCCAGCCCCCTCTGTTTGCAGACTATTGTTAACTGAGGGAACCATCACTTCAAGCCTGCACCAAACAATATTTGGAAGCGCCAGGCATGCTCTTTGACCCGCCACAGGCAAAGCAGGGGGACGAAGGCACTGTCAGACCCTGCCATGCAAGGGCAAGGAGCCCATGGTCAATGCACGCTCAGAGGATCCCAGGAAAAGGACAATGCCCTATGTCAGCGGTATTCCCAACCTCTTACAGAGTACGCACCACCAATTTAAAATGATACAACCAGCAAATTTTTGTCATATAAAGCAATTATAATAAATCTGTTAACGTGTGCCATTGACAGGTTGTACCCGTGCCACAGGTTGGGAACCGCTGCCCTATGCTACAAAGGGAGGCAAAAGCCCCCACGGTCCTTTACCAGCTCGATGCAAGGGAAATTCCTTTTTCATCCTCAGTTTGGGGACTGGTGTGACCTGAGCAGAAGAGCACGACCCTCTAGCCAGGGGTGCTTTGGCCTCGGGAGCATCCAGAGGAAATGCTGACAAATGGGGAAAGGACAGGCCAATCTCTTCCTCCTTGCAGTCCTCCGTGGACTGCACCGCACCGCTGGCAGGCACTTATCTGACAGCACTACTCCACCAAAGGGAAAGCTGCTGCTCTGGGGTAGCAGAGCGTTAGCACCGTGTCTTAGCTCCCCTGTCTGTGAAACGGATGTTGTGGGGACAAGAAGATGTTACCGCTGCATCCCAAAAGCCGTGTTTTCCAGGGCTCCTGAGGTCCCTGCTGCTATGGCTCCCAGTCTAGCAGCCCCAGAGCTTGCCAGTGCAAAGCTAGTGCAAGTACATCTCTCCGAGCTGCGGTCACGGCAGCGGCTACACCGAAGACATGCCATGAGTCACCAGTTAGCCCTCTGCCATTCCTCCACAGCTGTAGGAGAGTGTGGTTTGGCTCCTTTCCTTACTCTTAGCCTCACAATGGTCTTTTTGATAGCCTCAATTTGTTGCTGTCAGGTAGAACAGGCCAGATCCTCAATGCATAAACTGGTCCCAAAATGAAGAGATATTCATCTGATATATTCTGAGATATTCAATCGCGCTCACTGGGGTTCTGGCCCCGTGCACCCCAAGGCACACTACCAAACACCACTCAAGCAGCCAGGCTGTGCCAACATTACTCACCATCTTGGCCACAACCTGCTTTATTCAGACACCACGTCAGTCCCCGACAAGGGGCTTGAACTCAGAATCATTACCGCATGCCTGGAAGTAAGAGGGTTACTCACTTAGCAAAGGAGCGCTGTGAGAGCCACGTGCCCCTGAGGCCTGTAAACTGCAGTGGTACTATCAAGTCCCTGGTTTATTGGGTGTTGGCGGGCATAATAATAAAGGCTGAAGTCTCCCAAGTCCAGTATTGCAGCAGTGACTAAACCCAGGCGGGACGGCGCTCTCTATAAACCTTAAGTAACTTTTGCAGAATCCATTTTCAACTTAGCTCAGGGAAGAGCCAAGGAAAACACAGGAAGAGAACTGCAGTGAAGCCTCAGGCCTGCCAGAAGTCCAGCTGTGCCAGGGAGGTTGGCCTGACCGTACTGTGCAGCGTGGAAGATGAGCCTCCACCAAGATGTCCTGTTCTTGCAGGCTTAAAACTGCCTGGAAACCCTCAGACAGCAGGCGAATGGAGCCTCTACCTGACCCAGACTTGGTCACATCTGTCCTTGCCTCCTGCTTGGGAAGCCTGATCCTTCCTGGCACTGGAAGTGTTGGCAGGACGCAGCCCTTGCACGCAGCTTTTGTTCGGCTGCGTTCTAGGCTCCCGTCAGAGGCAGGTACTCTCGTACGGACTTGCCTTAGCATCCTCTGCAAAAGGACCAGAAATGAGATGGCAGCTTGTTTCTTTTAGGGAAGGGCTCGAGGGATTTTTACTGTTGTTTGCAAAAGCCGGAGATGAACAGTAAGCACCAAAAGGCACTTGCAATTCCTATGCCGCCTTTTTCCCTTGATGGGGAGAGTTGAGGGTTGCGGGACACACTCTGCTCCTTCCACCTTTCTACGTTGCTTCCCTTTGGACGACAAAAAGAGCACCGAGATGGGTTTCTTTCGGGTCAGTTCTTCCCCAAGAGTAACCCATCAGAAACATACCCTTCAAAGCAAAATCTCAGGGCGGTGAGATCTGACTAGGTTGTTTCAGGTTTTATCAGCGTATTGGCTCTCATACTTAGAAAAGGGTGAAGCTCTCATTTGCTGTAGCCAGCCATTCTTTCCCCCGCTGGATTTAAGAGGCTGGAAGTTCAAAGAGCCTAACATGAAAGGCCTGAAGTGGCTTGTTTGGCAGAAATGTCAGCTCTGACAAACAGCTGAGCTTCTAGCAGACCTTGCCTGGGCTTCCTCCTGGTTCTCGTCCTGGATGCCCGCGCTCTCATCACTCCACTCAGAGTCGGAAGAAATAAAACGAAGCCTAAAAGAAGGATTCTGCTGAAATAACGCAGATGTTTTGGGGAGGGAGCTGGTGTTTTGGGGCCCCGATGTCATTATACTCCCTGGACACACTGCAAAGTGGAAGCAGAAGCCAGACGATAGTAGGTCCCTAGAAACCCCTGGAAGAATGATTTTGCAATCGGTGCAAGAGAGGAGATATTTGAACTGAAAGGCAAGTTGAATTCACTGCACAGTGCTGAAGGCAGCAGGGGGAAAAAAAAAGACAGAGATTGTTCCCTCAGGTGCTGAACAGGAAAATCTCTGTACTAACGACAGGCTGAAAAAGTCAACAGACTTCCAGCAGGCAAAATTGATCCACGGGCCTGTTTGGAGGGGCTAAGTGATAGGGCTGTGCGAGGCTTTGGATCCGGAGAAGCTTTGGACGCTTCGGGGTCTGAAGCAGCACGTCCGGTCCGGGTCGAAGCGCTGCCTTGTTCGGCTTCCCGGAGCGGGTCGGAGCCGCCTCGGCAATCCGGCCATAGGGTATAATGGGGAAACAATAAAATATCTATAACCTTGTTCTTTTTTGTCCGATTGGGATGAAATGTTCAGGGGTGGCAGACTGCAGAGAGGGTGAAGCCTGCCAAGTTTCAGAAGATCGGTGCAGGGGTTTGGGGGAAACGGCACCCCAAATTCTTGAAAGCAAAACTCATGTCATGTCTAGGTGTTACAACATAGCACGGTGAAAACTGGAGGGGTGGTAGGTCTCGCTGAGGCCACAAAGCCTGCCACGTTTCAAGAAGATTGGTGCAGGGGTTTGGGGGGAACCGCCCCTCAGGCTGAGGACAAGCAAAACTGGTGCCATGGGTGCTTGTGGGACTGAGTGTCTGTCCTGGGGCGGGAGGGGAGACACTGCCGCGGGCTGTGTTCCCACTTACCAATCAATCAATCATGATTCACTCAGGGACCAGGGACTTGGGGACTAGCTCCATGCACAGGACCTAGCTACTACACAACGATTTAAGGAGCATCAATTAGCACCTACAAAACCCGGCTAAGGAGAGGAAAGCATCAATACAGACAATCAACTGCCCCAAGGCAGAGACAGTCTTGGCACGAGTTTTCTCTGTCAGCAGCTAGGGGTGCAGGGCCCCAGACCCCCCCTGCACCGATCTCCATCCCTGCAGCTGTCACCCCGCTGCGCCTGAACACACGCAGTGTCACCCATTGCTTGTATGCAGCTTGGGGTGCAGTTCCCCCCAAAGCCCTGCACTGATCTTCTTGAATTTGGCAGGATTCAGAGATGGACAGCATCACAGGACGAAGCCCGGGGGCAGCCTCGCGACCATGGTGAAAACTGTTTGGTGCAGTTTTCAGATGCATCCCGTTCTGGTGGCAACTGCATGCTGCGAGTGAATGGATAATAATGAGATTTTTTTACTCTGGGTAGTCGGGGCAAAACTGAGGGTAATCCAACCAACCACAAAGCAGATTTTATACATGTCCTAAGAGCAATCGCATAGCACCATGCCACATTTCCCTTAAGGACGCCCTTCCCTGGGACTGGGCTTTTGTGTTTCTGAAAAGACTAGGTATACACTGTCACCCCTGCCTGTCTTATTACTTCTGGGAGTCGATATCCTATCCTGCCTCTCTGTTGTTTGTATCTATATTCCTCACCAAAGAGACTTAATGTTAAGGCATCCGTGCTACGTGCGCCTGTTTACACACACACACACACACACACACACACACACACACACACACACACACACACACACACACACACACACACACACACACACACTTACTTGCCTCCCTTCTCTTGCCTGTTGAAGCTGATAGTCCAATAAAAAAAAAGTGCTGAAGAGGGCTAAAACTACTCGTTTCCTACATTGCTAATGACTTCATTACTGACCTGTTCACTTCCCCACTACCTCACTCGCAAGGACTTTGCTGCAGCGATGGTATGGGAACCCAGCCGGGGCGCTGCCCTGTAAAGGAGCCAGCAGCATGTTGACTCTTTTCCCAGCAGGCTGTGAAATGCTCGATCTGGACCCCCGCCTCGGGTTAGCCCCCACCCCTCTTTCATGCTTCTGCTCTCCTTGGCTTGGGCACAGAGACCTGGAAATGATTCTCTTTGCTCTGCTAGCAAATTCAAGTGTACGGAGCAGCCTATCGCAACGGCCTTTGCTCAAGCAGGAGAAGGTGAACAAGTCCCTATTCTTGACCTTCAGGTTCCCTAAGCCGGTCCCGCAATGAGACACATTTTCTTTACCTTTTTCACAACAGGCACTGCTAAGAAGCAGCTCACAGTCGCAGGAGTGTCCAGACCCTTTTGTGGCGTGTTTAGTGGGCACATGCCTTGCAAGCTGTAGATGTAGATCTTCTGGTCCTGCAGACACAAACACCACACGTGTATATTTTAGTAACCATTTAACATGGCTGATTTTCACCTGGGCATGCAGACAAGCTCTAATTTGCCCCAATGAAATGGCTAAGTTTGCTTTTGTGGCTGTTGAAAGTCTATAGTTTAACCCTGTTCTCTTTGCAGCTTGTTTTGGCTTTTTGTGATCCCTGCTGGTGCAAAAGGACGCGATGCCACCCCTGGATTCTCCATAATGCAGCGTGCGCTGCCATCAGCTAGCACAGCAATCATCTGCACTGTGGATATGGACCCCAACTTGAACACAGGGCTTGACAGTCCTGTCTCCATGTCCAGATCAAGTCCATTTGGGCTAGTCGGAAGTTTCCCCATCAGGAAAACTGAAATGAAGTATGTTGTTGCGGGTCAGTTTGCTGAAGGAACAGCCCCGTCGTGTTTCAGATCAGTTCAGCGTTACACGGCATCTCTCAATGGTAGTGTAGCATCTCACGGATACTGCAGTTTGGATGCTTTTGCCCTATGTGCAGGGATAAACCTGTCACAGTCTCATCTCCAGCTCAGCATCTTGGTGGCTCACGGGAGTAGTCGCCAGGCCAGGAAGCCCAGCTGGGGGGGATGAACAAAAGCCGGAGGTGCCACGACACCACGGGGAGATGCTGTCTCGTGCTGAACTGACTTGAAGCCAACACTGCTCTGATGCAGGTTGGGACACAGAAACACAAACACCTCCGGGTTTCGGCCTGACGTTTTTGCAAGCTTCCCTTTCCATGAGGAACGTCAACCTTTCAACTTTGTGGACTCTATTTGGGATGGTGGGGAGAAAAGTTGAAATACCTGACTTTTCCCCAACATGGGTTCATTCTGATTTCTGCTCAGTTCTCGTGTCCCTGCCTACATGATTAGAATTGGCTCAATTACCCGTTGCAAATAAATTACACGGTGAATAACTTCTTCTTTTTCCATTGACAAAACCCAGAATTTTGTGAACGCGTTCGATAATGGTGTAACAGAGCTGGCAAAAAAATAACTTCGTTTTGTGTCAAAATCTGGGTTCCCCTTTACATGACAGAGGAGATAAATCCACCGTGCGCCTCTTGGTTTTATTTTAGGCTGGGATTTTCCGAGGGAACTAAAAAAAAAGTTCCCGTTCATGTCTCACGGATGCTCCCCTCTGGCTGCTTGGGAAGTCCCAGATTAATGTGTCTTGTTCCACCACCCCCTTATCACTTGCAGATAACGACCGTTGGCAGGTGAAATATTTCAGGACTGACAGGTGATAGAGAGCCTGGACAGTTTTATGTTGGAAAGTTGTAGTTTCCATGCTCATTATGAAGAGCAGAAGCCCGGTGGCCCTCAAGACCCATTCTCTAGACACTGGCTAATAGGTGGAAACAATATGCTGCTGAGAAGGAGCTTGACTGCCTATTTGAGGGGTGTTGGTTGCAGCCGTGTTGGTCTAAGGACATAGGCAGACACGGTTCTTTCAGTAAATGTGACAGGTGATAGATAACCTGGACAGTTTTATGTTGGAAAGTTGTCGTTTCCATGCTTTATTTTACGTGCTGGCTTCCTTTCCACCTAGGAGAGAACATAAAGAAGCAACAAACTCTCCCCGTGCCTGAAGAAGGGCGTTTGTGCCCGAAAGCTTGCAAAGAACAATTTTTTCCAACTATTTAGTCGGTCTAATAAAAGCTATCGCATTTACCTAAAGAACCCTGACTGCCTCTTTGAGACACCCACTGTCACGCTGATTCCACTAGTTATGCATTACTCATTTACTAAGCAAACACCATTTTTCTGTATCATACACGCAAATAAATAGGTCTTCCCCTGGAGCAATGAAATGCAGAGCCAACAGGAAAAGAGTTCTCACTTCGGGTCACATTTACCTCAGTAGCAGTCCACAGGGCGCTCTGAACTTTTAATTGGCAGCATAACTTCATGCCTGGGCAGCTCATTCTCTCCACTTCTATGAGTCCCTTCTCTGTATTCACCACTGTGTAGTTTCTGAAAGGAGCAAATGCCATTTGTTCCAACAACGCTGCCTGTGGTGAAACTGCATCAGCAAGTAGCTGCAGCAGAAGTGCTTGCATTGTGCAGCTTGGATGATCCCCAGTGCTTTTGGCCAGGCCGTGGGTATAGTTATCCCCTTAGCAATCTGTTTGGCAGATGTAGAAAAGGCTCTTAAACCTTTTTGGGAGCTGGATAGTTTCCCATAAAGGTACTTCCAAGCTCTGCCAGCTATTAACTCTTTGCTAAATGTTCTCCCACTGTCGGCTTTGTGGTGCTGATGACTGTGCTGGCAAGATGAAGCAGATGTGATGGACAAACATCTGGCTGGGATCATCTGACCCCAGTGCTCTTTCCTGCCCAGGGCAGGGGGTCCGACTCGATGATCTATTAGGTCCCTTCCGACCCTAAAATCTATGAAATCCATGATGCATCAAGCAAGAAGAAAGGTCCCTGAGCTGTTAAATTAGTTAAGAAAAAATATGAGTAATGAATATTGGAACAAACCAGTTCTTTTATTTGCAACAACAGGATTCACAGGGTTATACTGTCAGCCGGTATTTGAACAATATGGTATTCACACCCACATCTCTCTGTCTGAGGAGTTTCATCAGTTTTAGCGCAAGAAAGTTATACTTCCCGACATTTGTATTAGATGCGTGTTAATTGGCTATTCTTCTGTCCAAAGGGGTCCCGACCTCCAATCAGGGAACAGAAACAATGCCGTGTCTCTGAAATGACCCACCCACATATCACGAACAACAGAGCAAATTGCTCGTGAACAACTCACTGGCTCAAAAATGGGGTTTGCACCAAAGGATGTAGTATATCAATAGCATCCAGCCTGGTGGGGTAAATAGTGTATGGATGAATTAAATGGAAGCACCGACGTCCTGATTCATAGGTGTTTAAGCATGGGCTTGAGTCCATTCTATAGTAAGGTACTCAAGTAGGTGCTTAATTCCAGACACGGGGCTAAATCCCACTATTTTCAATGAGACTTAAACATGTGCCTAAGTGCCTTGCTGAACAGGGGTGGAAGACTGAATCAGCACCTCAAAGGGGAAGGATTTAGTGTCAAATGGCTTCATTAGTAAAGGCAGAACATGTCTTTTTCCACATGCAAATACTCTGTAAATATTCAAACTCAGGACATTTTCCTAATCCTGCTCACTAGAGCTCAGCCAAACTCATTAAATACCCGTTATGAAACCACCGTGTTACTCATTAAAGTGGTTTGGAAAACCAGTGCTCCACGTGCCTCATCCGCTTTCACCTGCCTTTACGGAGGGCCCCGTGGCATGAGTGATGACATGAGTCTATGTTAAATCAAAGATTTTGTTTCTTAAGGATAAAAAAGCCATCTACCTCGTGTCTTCCTTCCCATCCCAGAACACCACGGTGTACTCTTGCCCTTGGGAGGAGAAGAAGGCAGACTGCCTCCCGCAGTGCAGCAGGTACATGAACGTAGCAAAGGCAGGGTCCTTCATGCGTCCCACAACAGAAAAGGCCACTGGACGCTGTGAGAAAATAAACACATGTATTATAAAGGGAGGGGGGGGTGTACAAAAGCCCAGCACAAAATTCATAGCTGACCCGCTGTCAACACAGTCATAATTACTACTATCGATTAATTCTTTGGTGCTAATGGCTGGGATTTTCCCAAGAGCCTAAGACAGCTTGGGGCCCAAAGTTGCACCAAATCCTTTCCATTTCTTGGAAGAACCCACAGGTTTTCGTGCAGCTGTGCACCCAGATGGAAAATAACATAAGTAGCCGAAAACCCATTCTTTCCTGCTTTTTCCTCCCCAACCCTTTCATTGTCCCTCTCTTCCACATGAGTATTATCCCTGAACTTCTCAAGGAGAATTTAGGAGACAGCCATGTTCTTCACACCAGTCAATCACAGCTGTCTGACCCCTCCGTTGGAGGACACTGGCTCGAGAACTGCAAGGGGATTAAAGAAAAAGATAATATTGTAACCCCCTGCTGTATTTTAAACCCTCTTGGGTCCTCAGGATGCTGTTTTGGAAACTTGTTGTTCCTGAATTTTTTGGAGCTGTAATCACAGGGCAGTATGTTATTGGGATTTACTTATTAAGGGGGACACCGTGGCTGATAGAAGTTGAAAGGAAGCTCACGTTCATAGAGTCATCTAAAACTAGGGCTGGAAAGGACCTCAGGAGCCCAGCTAGTTCAACACCGTACTGTGGGCAGTATCATCCCTAGCTAAGCCATCCTACAGAAATGTTTGTCTAGCCTATTCTTAAAACTGTACAAGCAAACCCTCATCCGCAGCAGCCAGGCACAGTGCCTGAAAATGGTAAGAACACCCTAACTTGTCACAGGTAAAGCACAGGGGCGAAGGCACTGTCACCATCCTGCCACTCAAGGAAGTAGGCCAATACTGAGGGATACAAACACCCCCAAGAGCCCACGCTAGTTTGACGGTGGGATAAAACTCCTTCCTGATGTGGCGAGTGGAAGAGCGAGACCCTCTAGCCAAGAGTCTCCATGAGCTTCTGGGGAGCTCTGTCCATTGCTGCCAGCTGCGCATGTCTCAGCCAGTGGAAAGGACCACCCCACTAACGTACGGCACCAACGGGTGCTGATCAGAGCCCTCGTACCTTCTCCGGCTTTGTGTCCCAGCACTCCATCATGAGCGCCTGCATCCTGTGGAACTGCACCTCCTCCGGCTGCCCCAGGACCGGACGGATCCCTTTGGAAAGTTTCTTCGAAATCTGGAGCTGGTGCTGTCCGAGCACGGGCCGCTGGCCAGACAGCAGCTCGTACAGGACCATTCCATAGGAGAACATGTCCACCTAAAGCAAGCGACACGCAGAGTTAATAGCGACTCTTCCTTCCCCTGTAGCTGGAGTCTGGATTCTCCGGACAGCAGAGCTTGACTGTATTGCTAGAATCCAGGATAACGTCACCAGCGCTTTCATATCTGTAAGGGGGCTGATATCCATCCCTCAACCAGCCTCAGGTACCCTCAATTTAAGTCCTGTGGGTCAAACAGCTCCTCTACAAAGTAAAGGCCCCTCTGCATAAAAGTGAATTTCTCCCAGAAGAGAATGAACGAGTGTTCAAGATCACTGGGTTCTGGGCAACGACCCAGACAGTTCCTCTGTTGAGTTTTTAATCGGTCTCAGGGCTAAGGAAAGCAATTCGCTTGTGGCTTTTGGACAATTAACACAGTGTAACTCAGCGCTGCCACCTGCTCTTCTGATCTGCCAAATGTCTCTTTGGGTGAAGATGTCCAAAGAAGGATGCCTGAAGTGAGGTCCCCAAATCAGCGGTTCCCAACCTTTTGCACCTTACGACCCAGAAACCATTTTGTCAAAAAGCCCTGGTCCCACCACGATAAAAAACAAAACCCCACAAAACTGCACTGTTCGAGATATTTGTTGACAACTGACTTCTTTCAATTGGGCAATGAGCTGAAGGCCCATCTACATGACCTTTGAGTCGAGGTTGAGAAACACTGCCCTAAATCCTTTGTCAGGCATCTAAAACCTAGGCTGATTTCCACAGGGGCTGGGCAAATGCAGCTCCCATTGGGAGATAGCTGGGGTTGGTCAGCACCCCTGACCCCAGGCTGCTCACGTAAGTGCCTAAATGGGGACCCAGAGCAGCGCTGTGCACTCAGTCGAGAAAACTTTGGCCTTAGCCAGCACACATGTAAAAGCTGCATTAAGGAACGGGGTGAAGTTTATCATCACTGGGTTCTAGAAGAGGATTAGATGATGTTGTTTTCATGGAGGTCACATAGATACCTTTTCATCATAGACTATTCGAGGCCTGATCTCTGGGGCCTGGTAACCAGGTGTGCCCTCTACCCCCAGGGCTCCTTCGTGGAAGGACTGCCGGGAAATCCCATAGTCGGACAGCTTGATGTTGATGTGCTCTTTAACGTCCAGGGACCACACCAAGATGTTGTCTGACTTCAGGTCGCAGAATATGATGTTCTTCTTGTGCAGGTAGGTGAGGCCAGCTGCGATCTGATATGCTATTTTGTGCGTCAGCATGTGCCCCAAAGGGACAAAGGAAGCCCCTGTCACAAAAGAAAGGTGCCAGATTGAGTAGAACGAGCATCCACCGGGCTGGCAGCTCTAGCAAATGTAATAGTTTTTATTTTTATTAACATCAAGCTGATAGAAACGAGCTACGTTTAGAAAAAGTGGTGCCAAGGGTGTGCCTGGAGGCATATATGGGCACCGTTCATGTTACTCTACACACAAGGCTGACACCTCTTATCTATGCTTTGAGAGCCCCTTGACTTCAGAGGTTCATAACTCTATCAAAGAAATTAATGTTGAAGCTTAATGAAGTGCTAAGGCCGAGGGAGGGCCTGAGGCCCTCATAATTAAAACAGCCTCACCTAACTTTGAACTTGGCTCTCTTAAGTTTGCATTGGCAAAACTACCACAGTAAGATGGCAGTTTAGTCTCTGGTACCCGATTTGCAGCAGAGAGCATGGAACAATATATGTGGCATTAAAATAAGCTTTAAAACCCCACATGCAAAGGAGACTTGGGTATCCAGATCTGACTCGTAACATCAGTTTTGATGAGGTCCCACAGGGGCCCATCTTGGAAACAATTTCATCTCTCTCCCACCCATCCAGGAAGAAAGCACTTCCTTAACCCCTCGGCCAGCAGTTTCAGCATTGC